ATTATCATCATCATAGTCGTACTTTGACACTGGTTATTTAAGAAAGATAATGTCTAGCCTCTTCGTTATTTCTTATCTGCTCTTTCTCCGCTCTTTTTTTTTTTTTTTTTTTTTTTTTTTTTTTTTTTTTATGTTAGTTTGTTTGTTTGTTAGTTAGTTTGTGTTTATTTGTTTATTTGTCAAGGTATCTTGGCGGTTCGCCAAGCCTCTAGAATTAAGTTCGGAAGCAACGTTTCAGTACACTCGATGCTGTCACCGCCGATAATGGTTTCGTATTTGAGCTTTTTCTCTCTCTCACTCTCCGAGCTTTCTCGCATTCGTATATACGTATTTATTTGTAGCCGAACACGCAAGCAAACCCTTTCTATTTCTCTCTCTTTCTCTCTCTCTCATTCACGCATACACACATACATACAAATGCACTGCTTTTTTTCGTTCATGCAGCGCTCGATAAAAGTTCTTTCGAGCAACTCTAGTTCTCTCTCTCTCTCTTTCTCACACATACACACACACACACACACACTCTCTCTCTCTCACTTTCTTTCTTTTTTTCTTTTTTTAAGCACTCGCCTTCGTTCCATTATACGAAGCACATTTCGCCACCGTGGTTTTCTTTTTTGTTGACCGCCATCATCGTCCATTTTCAAACTACCACGCCTATCATCTTCTATTTCGCGCTCCGAACGTTATTGCCTCTTTTTCTTTTTATTTTTTTTCTTCTTTTCTTTTCTTTTCTTTTCTTTCCTTTTTTATTTCCTTTTTGCACTCACTTGCGTTCTAGCAAGGAGTCCATTTTCCCCAGTGCACCACAAAAGTAAGTTGAGCTTGTAACCCGAGCGACACACTCCCTTCGTCATATGATTATTGTCACTTTCTCTGTCGCCCGTTTCATGCGTTCGGTTTTCAACGTCGCGCCGTCACCAACGTCAACGTAGTTTCTCTCGTTGAGAAACGAGACAGGACGTAAGTGTTCTCGGTGTATTGTTTTACACGCGTGCGCGCGCGTTCACTTACCCTTTCGTAGGTCCTTCTCTATTATCCTCTCTTTATCTTCCTTTCTCTCTCCCTCTCTCCTTCTCTCTCTCTCTCTCTCTCTCTCTTTCTATCTTTCTTTAACACTTTTTTATGACTCCTTTCGCAAAACCTGCATACACAGTTTGTTTTCCAACTTTTTCAACAAACGTAACTCGTACTTACTATAATATTATGTTCTTCTATGTTGTGTTCGAATATCTACGAATCCAGTATCGATGAGTCAAGTCTTGAAATTATTTAGACTTTCATTTTGTTCATGTAGTTTCGAACGTTCTCTCAAAAACGTATTCTTGATATACATATCGTATTTTGTTTTTATTCTTTGCCTGTGATAAAACGTTTTTCAAGATCGAATGGCGTCGATCGAATCGAACGACAAAATATCCGTCTATAGGGTACGTTCGTTCGAAAATGTTATACGTTTTGAAAACAGATCTCATAGATAGTAATCTTAGTTCTTTGAAAGAGAGTCGACGAAGTAAGTAAAGTTTATAAATCGTTGGAGTTTCACGATATCGATACCGAGGCAACATGTTCGAGATTACTTGAGAATCTTCCTGAGATATTCGGCAAGAATAACTTTCCTCGATCGTTCGAGTATCGATTCTCGCGTCCTCTCTTGTTGTTCCTCAAGTCGCCTGTCTCTTTCGAAGAGTCTGGCGCACTCCGATTCTGGTCACCAAAGTTCCGTGCTCGGTGTTAACGTATGAACTTCGATGTTTTCGTGACGATGGTATCTATCTCTTCGACGAACGGTAGCACGTCTGGATAAAACTACGGTCAAAGCTGCAGCCGCACCTAAAGCAGCACCAACGAGAATCAACATTCCGGGATGAGCGCCAGATAATTGTTCGGACAATCGAGTACCAGAATCGGTCGCACGACCGTTCAATTCTTCTGCTATCGTATTAGATACTATCCCGTTAGTCAATACATATTTTTCTTTCGTCAAGTTATTTTCTTTCGTCAGGTACTTCTCCGACATGGTCGTCTTCGTCTTCGTCTTCGTCGTCGTCATCGTCGTCGTCGTCATAGTCTTTTCCTCACTCCTTGGATATTCTGTAAACTTAGATATCTTCAACGATGGAGACAAATCTTTACTGGAATTCGTTAAAAACTTTTTCATCTTCTCGCTCTTCTCAGTTTTGCCTTTTGCTTCGGGGACGTTAATGTTGATGGAAGAAAATGTAGCTTTGTCATCTTCTTTCATATCGATCATCAACTTTCCTTTTACCTTGCGCCGTAAATTTTGAACGCTATTGTCTTTTCTTCTCAAGTCCGTACCTTTTAACGTCGGCGAAGTTATGTTTCTAAAGGACGTCGGTGCCTCGTAAACGGGAGGTACGTTCGTCGTCTTTATCGTTGAATTTTCCACAGATTTGACGTCCATTTCGTTCGTTGAACTGATAACTTCGCGAGTTGTCGTTTTCACCAAGTTAGAATAATTAGCAAACTCCTCCTCTTCGTTAGTTTCGAAAGTTGACTCCGTGATATTCGCGAATCCGTTGATAATATCGTTAGAGTAAGACGTGAAAGAGGAATCGATCGTTTCGTTTGAAGTTCGGTCGAGTACGAGAAGATTCGGCGATGCGGTCAATGGGGTCGATCTACTGGTCGATATCAACGTGGAAAGTGTTATGGGTGGTGAGGGTAGATCGTGTAGATAAGTTCCTAATAATTCCTCGGGAGCTGCGCATTGAGAGATTTCGAGATCGTAGGTTTGCCCTTTGTGCTCTCTTAACCATTGCCCTAACCAGTAGAGATCCTCCGTGCAATTCCACTCGTTTCCAGTTAGTCGTAATATACGAAGTTGCGGTAACAAGTACGGCAAATCGGATCTAAGGGTCGTAAGATTCGTCTCGGAAAGGTTTAATTCGAGGAGACTTTTGCAAGCGGATAGGGCAGCGTCGTCCGTCAATAACTGTCTGGCAAGAACGGGACTTCGCGAAACATTGAGAACAATGAGTCTTTCCGGTGTCTGTACGGGAAATGCCATGTCACCTTGTTGTTGGGATTTTTCTTGAAGGGACGTTAATCCGGAAATACGAAGCTTGGCAAGATTACTTGGACCACTCAAAGCATTAACAGTCAACGCTTTGACAGGATTATCGGACAGATCAAGTTCATTTAGCGAGACCAGTTGACTGAATGACCCAACTTCGATTTGACCGATATCGTTATCGTTCAACATGAGAGATCTCAAATTACGAAGTTCCTGGAAATCGTTTCCTTTCAAAACGGTTATGGCGTTTCGCCGGAGGTTCAGAATGGTTAAGCTACTAGGTAGACTTCCGGGAGTCTTGGTCAAAAGATTTCCAGAAACATCAAGCTCTTCGAGCACTTCCAATCGCCCTAAAGCGTCGTCTTCGATCTCAGTTAGACGATTATCGGAAATGTCCAACATTCGTAGGAGAGGATAACTGTCGAGGTCACCGCCTCTGATAGTGGTCAACTTATTGCCGGCTAAACGTAACGCTCTAACGGATCTGGTTAGGGCTGCTGGAACTCTTGCAAGACCCGTACGCGAAGCGTCCACTGTTTCTAATCTTCTCCCGGTTCCGAGTAAGAGAGACACATCCTTCTCCTCCAAAGGATTTTCCGCTAATCTCAAAACCGATAGTCCTGGTAAAGGTTGCAGAGTTCCCGAAGCGGCCTTTGCCAAACCGTTCCTTGAGACATCAAGTTCTCGAAGTTTATCGAGACTCTCGAACCATCTCGCGCCGAGGACTTGAAGTTGGTTACCGCTGAGATCTAACTTTTGAAGAGAGTAAAGAGGCGTCAAGGCGCTATCCGGTAAGTCCGCTAGCCTATTATCCGACAAGTCGAGGAACTCGAGACGATCCAAGCCGCGAAACGCGTCCTCGTGCACCATCGCGATCTCGTTATGTCGTAAATGTAAGCGCGCCAGTTCACTGAGCGTCCTAAAAATGCCGACGTTCACGTCCTTCAATAAATTATTCGATAGATCGAGACACGTCAAACCGATGAGACTCGACACTCGCGCGTCACTCAAGTGTGCTAGCTCGTTGTACGACAGATTTAACGATCGTAGTCGTTCAAAACCATGCCACGAGACGTTTAAGAACGTCAGCGAACAGTTCGTCATCGTCAATTCGTCCAAATAGGGGAGCGCCGTCTCGATAGGAGCGCTTCGGCTCTCGTTCGTCGTCGTCGTCGTCGTCGTCGTCGTCGTCGTCGTCGTTGTCGTCGTTGACGTCGTTGACGTTGTAGTCGTCGTCGAGGACGTCGCGTTTGACTCGAGATAATTCGATGTCTCGAGCTCGATCAAAAAACTTGTTACCTCGTGTTCCTCTGCTTCCTCCACGGACAATCTCCTCGTGTTATCGGGTAAGTCCGATAATTCCGGCACGCGACCGCGACACGTCACATCCGCGAATACCGGCGAATCCCTGTCGACGATGACACCTTGTTGACAGATGCAAAGATCGGGACAAGCGGAACCGCTCGCCATCAAGGCGAGCAATACGAATGGAAGCCACATCGCTTCCAACGACTGCGACTTCACATCTCGACGCTCCTCCGTATTTATCCTCTGTCGACGTTTCCGACAAAGACGATGACAACTATTACAACAAGTAGAATAACGACGACGTGCCTACGAAGAAACGTCGTCGATTTAACGATCCCCGCTGAAATCATCTACGAAATACTCCACTTGAACGAACTACTATAATCCACTAATTCTTATTATTTATTATTATTATTATTTATTATTATTATTATTATTATTATTATTATTATTATTATTATTATTTTTAGGTAATAGAAACGCGTTAGAACGATTTACGATCTATCCTATCCATGGGTCGGTCGAGTAGAACGTGATGTCCATAAGAAGGACTACCAAACACTGCGGCGACGAACTCGCAGCTGCACTCGCTTTCCTTCTACCATCCCTCTTTCACCCCCAAACTCCGATTTGCCCCTACCCCGCAGACGCATTCCATCCCTATCTTCCGTTTTCCACGGGGCGCCTCTCTATCTCCCTCTCTCAGCCACTCTCGCTCCTCTACCGCCACCTGCAACCCTCTTCCTCGTCCTCTTTCTCCTCCACCCTTCCGTCGTATCTTCCCTCTCGTACCTACCATACACCTACTTCCACTTCCATACCAACCACCACCAGCCGTCGCTTTTGCTCTCGAACTCGATAAGGGGCGCGCGCGCGCGCGCGCACTCGCACTCGCCTTTTCCGACAGCGTACTGACGCTGACTGATACGGAGAGGGGTTGAAACGATGAAAGAGTAACGGAGAAAGAAAATTAACATTGTAGGTGGGAGAAAGAGAATCTAGGAGAGGGAGAATCGGTACCGTGTGATTTCACGAACTACCGCCGATGCCATCCGGCTGGCTGCATGACTGCCTGGCTCGATGCTTTTCTTCCTTGGATGCTTCCTTGCTTCCTTCCTTGCTTCCTTGCTTGCTTCCTACCGCGTACAACTCCTCTCTTCAATTTCTTTAACTCGATTCACCTTCTACGATTGCGATCGAGCGAAAAGAGTTTCCAATGACGCACCGTTTTAACGCCGATCCCTGACGGGGTCTCTATCTTACGATGTTCTTTGGATTTTTAAGATCGGAGACTTTGATTGCACGATTTCTCTCTCTCTCTCTCTCTTCCTTTTTATCCTTCTTATTGGTTCGCGATGCAACGAGAGATCTTGGGGTTTGTATTGGATGTTAGTTCAAAGAGACCGATCCAAATTTGCGTAAATAGCTCAACTCACTTGGGATTTATATTATGAACCTAGAGTCAAAACTACTAAACCGTACTACCACAGCTCAAATCGAATTCTAGAATATCTCCTTTGATCGAGGAAATGTAGACACATCCCATTTTCAATGGAACTCGATCGAGTAATATTTTCCTATAGATCATTTCAATACCGATCATTCAAACGTTTATAATCGGATTACCTATATATTTCAAATATGAAAAAACAATCGTGAATAATTGTTTATGCATTCGTTTCTTCGATACACGCGTATCACAAATTATACTAGTTCACGTTTTTACGCGTTTCGATGAATACAATACTAACGATCAATTTCGTAGCAATTGTGAAGAAAGACCGGAACGAAATTGTTTGACGATCGAGTGGGCTTTAAAATCAAGATTGATTCGCATATTAACCTTAATTAGATATCGTCAGGAGGCCATTTTATTGACGATCAAGTTAGTTCGTTAGAATATTGATCTATCGAGAAATCCAGTGATGTTTTGTATTTTCTCCCGCGATATTTAACAGCAATCAGGCTTGTATTGATGCCATTTTCAACAACATTTAATAATTAGTTTGCGAGCTGGTAGCATTAAAGAGGAGGGCATCGATATACTCGTATAAAAAGATGAATAAAATAATCGTTTTATTCCTCGAGAGAGCGTTAATAACGCTTGACTATAATTAAACGGTACCTTTTTATGATATTAATAACGCATAGCATTTTTTTCTTTTTTCGCTTTTATCGAACTCTATTTCTCTCTCTCTCTCTCTCTTTCTCTCTCTCTCTCTCTCTCTCTCTCTCTCTTTCTCTTTACGACCGTATCTACCGTACCTACCGTAGTTTAATTTCGAGCCGTGTCTCGCTAAGGTTTCATTCTGGATTTCGCTCGAGCACCGACATGTAAATGTTCGGAATAGTGTGCTCGTGCCCGACGTTTCTAATAAGAGAGCACCGTGTATAGTATATGTGCATAGAAGAGACGCGCATATCTAAAGAACGTTCGTCGTACAGGACACTCTTTGAGTTTATAAAGAAGCATGGGAATAATTTTAAAGTTTATACGTCCAGCTAAGAACATTCTTGCGAAAAATCATTCGATGGTAAACGACATTGTGACGTGGTATTGGTAAACTCGTTCGAACTGTTAACATATTTGTGGGAAGGTTCTATACGACGATATCGTTCGAGCGACTTCATGTTCGCATAAAGCGAACACGCAAAGTTCTCCTGTTGCTTACATTTGTGTGGGGCCATCAAATGTTTTTGCTTTTAAAATTCAATTCAAAGCTTTTTTTCTACATAATCGAGCAAACCATTCTAGCTTTTTTACAAACCGAAACATCTGGCTAAAATCAAACATCGATGAATAAAAACGAATGTTCCCATAGATGCTCGTATTAAATAATTATTAAATTATTTCGTATATTTAATGCACGATTGAATAATAGGTGAATTAGATAAGATTTGATTTTTAAGACAGTATTTGTATTACGGAGAGTAACTCGGTTGAACTTCATACGATCTTTGGTTTAATCCTACGTCTCCAAACACCTTACGCGCTCCTATACAGGTGTATATATACATAAGACTTTCTTGGAAGCGGAATGCCTCAGAGGTCCATAAATTAGTTTCTCAGCATCTCTAATCCATTGGGAATTACTGCATCACTTGCTTTTGCTCTTACGAAACGATCGAACGTGATCTTGGTGCGACCTATATTTACTCTATCTATGCATCTACCCACTATCTCATATAAACGATTTTTAAGAAATTTATTATCTTGATGAAGTATCGCACGTTAAGAACCATAAAACTTATTTCTGCTACTCATCGATTTCTTCCTTGCTCTTGAAAATAGGTAATGACGTTGCAGGAATTGAGTATTCACCTACACGAATCTAAAATAATGTTTCTTCAATGATTCAAATCTTTATCGAAGTTAGATGAACATGCTAACTATACCGTGGAATAATCTAGTATCGGACTTATCAATTTCTCATTGAATTTTACAAAATTTATACTATTCCTATATGCGTTATGATCCCATTCAACTACACTCCGCAAACAATAATGTAATACCATAGAATTAAAAAGAACAAAATGTTCGGTTAACTTTGCATTAGCGTGAATTATTATAATCTTGCTCTATTTTTGTCCATCGAACGTTTGCAACGCACTTTCTACGAGAATGATTAATGGTCGAATTAATGATTAAATTTATGCGTAACAACAAAAATTCCTAATAAATTGTTTTTGCATATTTCCCATGTATCGACGATTGGAATCTTTCATGTGACAACAGCGGCATGCAATCCACGCGGACCTTTTTAAACGTATCCGTTTGATCAAGTGCTGTGTAAACGTGCTTGAAAAATCTACTTTTTGTAACCAACAACCACGCTATAACGGTACACTCGATTGCCGATTTTGAACGATCGTGCGTTAACGACGTACCGGAACTTTCGACCATTTCCTTTATAATTTGTTACAGTATGTTCACAGAAATGTACTTTTACGCTCTCAAAGTCGATTTTCCGAAGATTTTATCATGCCATAACCTTTGAGAAATTTATAAATTATGAATGAGTGTCCATCGAACTTGACCAAAGTATCCTCATCAATAAAAATAGATTTTGATCATTACAGATGATAAATTGAAGACGAGGACGAAAAAAGTGAACTTGTGAAAAAAAAGAACATTAATATAAATTACAAAGTTAATATTATTTTATTTAAATTTATTAGATCTTTATTAATGATCAATGCATCGTGCACAAATTCAAATTCAAATAGAATTGTTATTCCGGATGTTTCAACATTTGGTTATCAGTGTAAGTACTTTAATTAGAATTTCAACGCGATACCATGCTTGGAAATTAAACTTCCCCAACAGTTTTGGTCATTTTCTTCAGAGAAAAAAAAAAAGAACGGAAACGATAAAAAAAGAAAGAAAGAGAATAAGAAGAAAAAAGAATAAGGTAAGCGTAACGTGTTCGGCGAACCCGAAATATTTTCAGTCGCTCGAATAGGAATAAAGAGGAAGCGACGTTAGACGTCGTAACGAAAACCCTTCTTTTGTGTCTTGCGGTGTCGCTCGACGTGTAATTTCCCCCGAAACGGAGAACAAAATCCTTGCGAATACTGGCCGCTCGCTTGCGCGTGTTACAAAGTTACTTTTACGAGAACAGTAGGCAAATGTAAATGGTGTGGGCGTGGGGAAAAGAAAACTGGCATGAGAAGCGGGTGGTGCCAACCGAGAAAGATAGAAAGGGTGAGAGAGAGAGAGTATGCATCCTTTGTCTCTCTTTCTCTAAGAGACAAAGAAAGAGAAAGAGAGAGAGAGAGAAGAGGTTCGTTGAGAAAGGCACGAAGCAAGCAGGAGCATGAGAAGGAGAATAAGGAGAAGTAGTAGGAGTAGAAGGAGTTAGAAGGAGAACAAAGAAGGTGGTATGGGCGGTGAGATGTTTGGTATAGTAGGAAAGAGAAGAGGAAGTAAAGGGGATGAGACTGTCGGAGTTTGTAATTGCTGCGGCTTTAACGCGCTGGTGATGGCCGATGGCACCCGGGACTGGGGTAATGGTCTGCACCAAATGTCTCTTCTTGCGAGAAGAGCGCGAGGGAGATCGAGAAAGGCGTCGTGAAAACCAAGCGGAGACAAGGAGAAGAGCATTCGGTACGACAGCCGTTGTGGAAGAGGTCTTGCATCGGAGAGAGAGAGAGAGAGAGAGAGAGAGAGAGAGAGAGAGAGAAAGGAAGAGTGACGTGAAGAGTGGCGAGAAGGGTTAAGAGAAAGAGGGAGTCGGAGAGTATACGAGGCATCGTTCTTCTCTTCCTGGCACGACCACCATCGTCGTCTTGACGTTCCTTTTCCCCTTCGTTGTCTTTTCCTCTTCGTCTTCTTGCCGTCGGCAAGCCCGCAGCTGCTGGCATCAAGCTCGGTTTTCTTTGCCTCTTCTCGCTTGATCTCCAATCAGTGTATCGGCCATTGAGTGCACAACAAGCCACTCTTATAGCAAATATTTTAATCCGAGGGTGAGACTCGTCTTTCGAGAGTCCGACTCGTTCATTGTCTTTTTCTCTCTTTCGTTTTCTTTTTCTTTTTCTTTTTCTTTTTTACTTTTTACTTTTTTTTTTTATCTTTCTATTGTAT